CATGTGACCGCATGCCGTACACCCTAAACATGGGCCCAAAAGGTCTGTTCTGGACAACTGAGCATACATGCCAATATTCGACCCATAAGGGTACATCTGGGTAACAGTTGCATGCCTGGATTGTTTGAATAAGATGGTTTCCGAGCCCAAAAGACTACGGGCGCAAACCAGCAGGGCAAAACCAACCTTTACCCTGCAGTTCCAGACGCCGAATGGTTGACCCAAGGGGACCCAATTTGGATGAAAATCCAGGGTGAACAACGGTGGTTATATGAACCACCATTGTTTTCATGGTGGCAACTGCTTGAACCCCAGGGCCCCAGGGCATATTATATAAAGGTCCCAAAAAGTTCTAGCCCTTCCTTGCCAGGACCTTTGGGCAAGTCTTGGGGTATTGCCTACACAATGTGTCTTTTTGGGGGGAGACCCCGAAAAATCGTGAGTGTCCTTTGGGTTTCCCGGTAAAACCTCCAAAAAAGGAGTGCCCCCAGCAGAAAGGCGCTTTTTCCCAGCAGGCTCCTTACCAGCGAATTGCTGCACCATCATCGCCTGGTCTCTCGCTTCTTTGGGCGTCTTCCAGGCGGTGCTCCAAAAAAAGGGGATTTTAACAGGGCTCCTTAAAAGATAAATTTTGCAACCATTTGAAACATGGCTTTTTCCACCAAAACAAAGGGAAACCACCATTTACAAGGCAAGGTTCAGGTGTATAATGTAAGGATCCCTGTTGAAAAACCCCGACAGGTTCGGCACATACATGGTTGTTGTTGGGAAACATCTCGAGCATTTTGCCTATTGTGGTTTAGTGGTTGAAATCCAGCCACTGGACTGCTAAAAATTAAATGTGTGCTCCGCTTCCAACGTCAACCAAGCTGCAGTAAAGGTTCCCAGCTGCCTCTCGTGGCTGGCCTGAACGGACTGGTGCGGTTCCCTTGACAAGCCCAGCGTCAACCAAGTTGTTGTGGGTTTGATCGCCGCACCCTGAGAGGCGCCTTTGTTCCGGCTGCTGTCCAGGGCTGCCATGCCGCACCTGGAGCGCTGCCAGCCCTATGAGGCGCCTCGGCACTGCATTCGAACATCTCACCTCCAGCTTTTTGTTGAGGGTATGCTGGCAAGCCTCTACCTGGAGTCTCCATGACCCTTAAAAAATGGGGTGATGACCCGTGTATTTTGGGTAATGATCCCATCTTTTAAGGGTCACTGAAGACTCCAGGTACCGAAAAAGGAGGTCTTTACCAGGGAAAGCGCGCGTTGTCAACAAATTCCCTGAAAAAGAGGGTATTTGGAGTAGGTACATCAAATGGGTGTGAATTTGAATTGGGAACACTTGGTCGTTTAGTTTTGGTGGTCCCGATTCAATCTTGTAGCCAGACGAAGTTGGTAGCACGTAAGCCCTCCTGTTTTGTGTTAGGCCCCTGGTATTGGTATCGTCCTGAGCTGTCTTTGGGACTTGGTTGTGAGTGCCTTGTCTCAGATGGCACCCCAGCAAAGGGTCCCCGTTTAAACCAACCTCCCTCTGAATATGGTGTTTTTTTTGTTTTTTTTAACGGAACCCCCCGTTTGGTTTAGGGTTCCCCCCCAAACAGACACACCCCAATGGGTGGAGGGACCCCCCAAACTGGTGAGATGTTCCCTTCCGCTTCCCTTTGAGCCAAGCCTGAAAAGGGAGCCCAGCAAAAGACAGACAGACGCGCACACACACACACAAAGTGTTACGGAACACCAAGCCGGTGACCACTATAGTGGATACCCCTTCAATCCATGTTCCTTTTTGTATCGGCTGGTTGTCTATGGGGGAAATAGACTAATTAGGTCCCCCAGTAGTGCCCTTTTACCCTTTTTGGTTGGGAGGGTTCCCCTACTAAAATCGACTCAGAAAACAGAATCGGGTACCAACTTATTCTAACCTCTCAAATCTGGAGGACCTAGTAGATCCACTGGGCGAGAGTCGGTGGATAAAAATCCCCAGGTGAGCCATCAAAGCCCGGGTAGATGAAGGTTAGGGACAATCCCAGCCATGAATAGTTGCGGATATCCGCCTTCTTAATTCGTTGCGTGGTTCTGGGACCATTTTGATTATGGGTTTTGATCAAGTCGCTCAGGTGACCAACCTGCTGTGGGCCTTCGCGCAGCTCCAGAAGCTGCGCCCGGACCTGGGGGTGGTGCTCGCCACGGAGCTGCAGGAGCTCGCGGGGGCGGTGGCGCAGCGCTTCCAGGTGCTCACGGACGTCAAGGCGGTCGGGGGGGGGTGGTGGGGGACGGCTGGGGGGCGGCGGGGGACGGCTCGGGGAACGGCGTCAGCTTCGGTCTTTGGGTTTGGGGGGGGTTGTCCGGTGAGCGTGCCGCGGATGTTTGCGGGGCAAAGAAAATCTGCGGGCCTTGTTCTGGGATGAGCAAAGGCAGCAGTTTTTTTCCCTGGTTCCTGGATGAGATGTAACTTGTTTTCCGCAGTTGAGCAGCGCCCGAGGTTTTAAAGTGCCCCCTATTCCATTCGTACGGGGTGCGTATGACAGGCTGCAGGTGTGCCGCCTTGGAGGTGGAAAGCGCAGAACCGGGACCACAGAGCCCTGAGCGAAGGTTTCGCCAGAAAGGCTTAGCATGTTGATAACTTCCGCTTGAAGGTTTCTGGAAACAAAGGAACATATTTTCAGTGATGGATTCCGTTTACGACCAACAAGGGACAATCAACCATATGCTGATGCAAATGGAAGATAAGGAGTCACAAACCATTGCCTTTTTTAATCAAATGTGTACATATATACATAAATGTATATATATATATATATATGAACAAGTTGTTCAGTATTGGGGGTCCTGTGGGGACCACCCTCACAACATGGGCATACTAATCCGGAGTCAACATTATAAGTGTTGCCGTTTTGGTTTTCCATACGTCTTCCTTTCAAGCAGCAAAGGCCCAGACAGCACAACTGCTGAGCCCAAAAACACCAAAACTGTGCTCAACGAGGGCGGGTACCGGCTAAACGTGGTCTCCTTTTTTTTCCCGGGTCGCCTTATTTTGGGCTTCATCCTTTTTCACTACACACCTATGACCTGACCCACTTAGATGCGGACTTTTCACCATGGCACATCGTGGCACTCGCCCTGGGTTTGCAAACCCACCCTCCAAAACGGCTTCGGTTGGTTCTGACAATCCCAAAAAAAAAGAAGATACATAACACCCCAAAAAAGCAAAACAACAACAAACAAAACAACAACAACAAAGAAACGCGAACTCGGCAACGCAAACCCCATTTTTCACAACAAATGAGGTCGGCGTTTTCGTAGCAGGCGCAAGTGCTGGTGTCAGCCCTGGTGTCCTTGGCGAATTTTTCGAACCCGCAGGCGGCGGGGTGACCGGATCTGGTTTCCCCTGAGCTTGTGAGAAGGTTTGGCATTTGGCGGTTGGCTCCCGCCATATGTGCAAATCGTTGTTGCGGAGCTTTTGTCCCCAGTTTCCCAAAGAATTGGAACCCTTGATGGGGGCCATTCGTGGGTCAAGAACACACCAAGCACAGCGCGATTTAGAGGAGTAATGTTTTGGAATTGACCGCTTTTTGTGGGACATGGTGTTACGAGTTCCAAAACGTGTCAAGGTTGGTCCTTTTGATTTGCCGCTTCCCAGTCACCAAATTGGGTGTTCCTAAACAGCGACAGATAGACTATTGTATGCGCATATGGAATATATATATATATATGTATCTATATACGCAAGGGGACGTTGTGGAGGCCTGCGTTTTTCAGTGATTGCAATTCGTGTTGTTTTTGAAGTTTGTTGCTTTCAAGAGCAGAAGTCTGTGGCCTTCACAAGTGTCCTCCCTGAATTTGTCGGCATAGACTCAAGAAACAAGAAGAAACAAACATGAACTGCAGGTGAGGTGGTATGTCGAACCCAAACCACGTTTTGCATTCCTCATGTGTAGTTAGTTTGTGTTTCCCCTACCAGTCCCTAGCCCTTATTTTCAAAGTTCCAGGATGCCTTGTTTACTTGAAAAACTTCCTTGAAGTTGCATGTGATTCAGGTGCTTAGGTTTGAATTCAATGGGTCACTATATTTCTGAATTGAGCTATGCACTTCAGTAGCTTATACACTTAGCTAGCGTTTGCTGCTTGAGCATTTGCATGAATAGCGCTAAAAGCAGTGTTAGCTGCAAGAAACTGTGCAACTGGCACGAACCTCGATTGCTACTTTGCCTCACCTTAAATGAACAATCACTTGTGGCAAGAAGGGCTTGGTTACACAGGGGCTTGTCCTAGAGAAACATATCTATGCATTTTGCTTGTCGGCCAATTTGCGTGTAGTATTCTCATGGCTTGCCTTGTGCATCACACCCTCTATGGTAACTCAATTAGGTGGAATTGGATGGAATATGTTTGTGCACGTGGCTTTGGCATACAGCTACATTTGCCATAGGTTAGGCCAATCTGCAGCAGTGTCATCAGGCTGCTAGCTTGCTATTGGTTAACATGGACAGTTCAGCTAGCATCAGAAATGGATACCTCGGTTCAATGAAATCTGTGTTTTTTTCTTGCAAACAACTAGTGTTTTTCATGTAGCGCAATGTAGCTCAAACCATTTCTGTGTTCCATTGGTTCGTGTGTTTCTTGTGTTTCTGAACATATATTTTTTGGGGCCCTACTGATCAGCAATTGTGTTGATGACCTATGGAAGGTGCAAGTAGAATAAGTTATTCTCCTGCCTCCTCCCGTACCATCTATTGCATGCCATTCCACCAGCAAGCATAAGAGCTGGAAATCCTATCTCTAATGATGCAGCCACTTGCAGGTCGTTTGCCTTGCCACTCAGATTTCCGGATCTACTGGCAATATAATCCTCCATTCAGCATATCAAGGGGGCAGAGCACCCTCCCCAATGGAAAGGCTCAATCCCATAGCTCAGGTAGCAGCTTGGTAACCTATAGTAAGTCATTTCTTTCAACAAGGACGCAGGGGAAGGAGCCTCATCACCACAGCTGGCAGCGGCCCATTAACCTCTTGTGAGCTACAGGCATGCGAAGTGGATGCAGCGGGGTGGTTGGTCAGATCCTTGTTTGCTGGAACCAGCATATTGCATTTGCACTTGGCACGCATGAAGCTCACAAACGGTTGGTGGAATGAAGGTGTGTGCAAGTTTTGGTGATGAGAGTCCCACTTGCCATTTTGAATCAACTACAGACAGATCACAACTCACATTGCCAGTAGATAGAGGTGAGGCAGACCACCTGGCAAGCGGGCAACACTAATGTCTGCATCATTAGAGATAGGATCTCCAGCTCCGATGCTTGCTGGTGGCATGCAACAAATGGTACCGGAGGAGGTAGGAGAATAACTTATTCTGCTTGCACCTTCCAAAGGTCATCAACATAATTTTAGATCAGTAGATCTCTTAGTCAAATCTAAAAGCCGTTTGTTCTTAGAGAAGCAAGCAAGCAACAGAAAGTAGAAATGCGTTACCCTAAAAGAAGCACGTTGTTTTTTTGTGGAACAACACAACTTTCACTGAAATTTGCAAGCCTGCGCAGCGTCCCACACTCTATATATATACATACCAAGAAATATATATATATATATACATATGTATTATGCACATTGCCAGGCTTACCTCACCTTTTCGCTTTGCAGTTTTCCTTGTTCCCTTTTTCACCAGCAACCTTTTGGTGTTGCCGCTGGAACCGGGGCTCGATCCACAGGCGTGGCTGGTCCTGGACATCAGCGAGCGCCTGGCGAGGGCTGAGCTGACGCCGGAGAACCGGAGGCAGCGCCCCGGTGAAGCGAGGAGGGGGCGGGGGGTTGGGGGGGGGGAGGGGGTGGGGGGAGGGGGGGGCAGGCGCAAAGGGATGTGAGAAACTGAGAAAAAAAAAGGTTGGGCCCGGATGATCTGGTTTGGGGCCATAAGCAGTGTGTTTGTTATTCTTCTTTTTTTTGGGGGACCGAAAGAAGTCGTGGGTTGTGCCTCTTTTCCCTAAACCGGATAAGGGCGCCCTCAGAAACGCACACACACAGATCGGGTTCTCCTGCTCGATTTGCCCAGTTCATAGAGCAGCGGCGGTGCCAAGCTGGCACCGCGCATCAGAGCCACCAGCTCTCTTGAACAAAGTTGGTTGGTCTCAAAGTGAGCGGCCCGAGCGTTTTTCAATCGCAAGGGGGAGTACCTGAAGTCTCCTTCTGACCCTAGAAGAATGGGGAGTCATTACCCAAACTAAAGGGGTCATGACCATATGTTGAAAGGGTGAGAAGGAGACTCCAGGTGCCCTATTCACGCATGTTCTTTGGGAATGGCACGGGTTCCCCGCGAGGATGAGGATGCGGGCGAGGTTGCCTCATTTGGGCAATGGATTTCGCAAACCATCCACAGAAGATATTCCCCTTTGTTTCCCGCGAAGGGATCATTGGGCGAATGGCGTCCGGTTTGTGAGGAAGGTTGAACGCGGATTCCTTGCCCTGAGTATCTCAATAGTACGTTGCAGTCAGTTGGTTGTTCTGTTGCCAGCAAGACTTGATTTCTCTTGAAAAGCCTGGTTGCTCCTTTGCGCCAGCTGAAGCTTTTGAACCATCTCTACGGAAACCCGTGTGGCCAGGAGAACATTCGACATGTGTTCCCCTTGCGAGCCGGGATTGGGGAAGCCGATTGCTTCCGGGCCCCAGTCCCCTCCTGACTTGTTCAGTGGCACCCTTTTTGCCCGTTTTTTTTTTTCCCCTTTTCTCCGTGGCCCCGCTACAAATCGTCTTCCCCGAAAAGGGTTCCCTTTTTTTTGAGGGTCGCTGAACAACTGAGCCTCGCATCCAGTGAGGATCGGGATTGCGTTCCACTTCCTGCGCAGCAAGAACCCCCAGTTGGCGGCGGCTTGTGCCGGAGCCGGCGGTGCCTGTTTTGGGCCCAAGGCAAAAGCCCAGTGATCTCATCTTGGAAGCCCGTGGCTTCCCAATTTCAAGCCAGATCGGATGCTCAGCTTCAATAGAGTCCCAAAAAACACCAGGTTCGAGAAGTACATGAAGGTCGATTTTAAGACCCAGACCGGCAGAGATGTCATTGACGTCATGCCCTGTTGTTGTTCTATGGGGAGCTCCCCGTTGAAGCCAAAGAAGCAAGCGAGTTGAGATCCCTTTGTTATGCAGATTGTCCTGGTGATGATTCGTGGAACCGACCGAAGAACAGTAGTTAGAACGTACGTTTTGCAACAGCACCTAACTCCCGTGAGGCAGGAATCTTTTGAAAGGGATCATGCAGTGTTATCAAAAATCCAGGTGATGGCAAACCGACAATTCCGCACGAGAAGGACTAAGGACATCCCAGATCTGGGGTTTGAGTTGCAGTGTTGGGTGCAGGCATGCGACCCTTCGGTCCCTATTGTGACCGTTGGTCCATTTGCCCAGCATAGATCAAATCCATATTCTCACATGGCCATGGGTCATAACCTATGCCTCCATTTTGGGGCGGATGAACACCCATGTACCACCTATTTTGATGATCACCAGGGGTACAGGGTTTTGACCCACAGCCACATCACGACGACCCTTCGGTCCCTATTCTGACCGTTGGTCCATTTGCCGGGCGTAGCTCAAATCCATATCCTTATATCACAACGATGCATGTGTTCGCGCGACGCATGTCGCGCGTGCCAATCCATAATCTATGTCCCATGAGGAATTAATTTCAAGTGGCACGAGTGCTGCTTCAAGAGTGAATCACACTTGTTCATGTTGCTAAAGAACCCGCGGATTTGTTCTTCTCCTTGTGGCTTTGACTCTCAAACATATCCGATGGTTTTACGGCGGAAGCGCCGCTTTCTGTGTGGTTCGTCTGGCTGCGGTGCTTGTGCAGTCTTGCGGCGGGGTTGCCTAAGTTTCTATTTTGGTTTCAAGCATCACCTGGTGCCTTACAAAAGTGAGTTTCTTGTGAGTGACTAGGTCCCCCAGTAGTGCTCTTTTACCCTTTTTTGGGAGAGGGTTCCCCTACTAAAATAGACTACAGAAAGAAGGGTGCCCTTATTCTCTCTACTGGAGGACCGTACCTCTTGAATGTTGGCAGCCTGCGCCCGTACGCCCTCCGAGCCTTTTCCGTTGGTGCTCCGCCTGACATCCAAATTTGAAGGAACCGCTCACGTGGAAGGACCGACAGATAAATCCTGTTTCGGGGTGCCAGATCGTTCTGCGCTGCAGATTTGGAGGCCAGGGTTGCTCGCCGTTTGAAGCAACCCAAAGGGTGCTTGAACCAGAATAGCCACAGAGAGATTGTCAGTTTATATAACAGTAGGTTGACTGCATCGTCGTCAATCAACTAGAATGAGGTTTGAACTCATGGGATCAAACAAGCACTTGGCTAGGTGCACCCTGGTTTGGCTTGCGCCTGCGGCTAAAAACGGGCTTTGCCTCTGCATGCCTGTAAGGCAACCGGCCGGACATTAAAAAGAACGGCCGGTGGCAGAAGAAGAGCTGGGCTTGGAATTTGTTTGGAATACCAAGGGCGCCAGGCTTCGGTGGGAGGGCTTGTTTTCCCACACATTTATTTGAGGAATGGCCTTGAAGCGGGAACAACCTTTTTTGTCTCTCTTTTCTTCTAATTCTTTGTTTTTGTTGGTGTTTTTTTTTTGGGGGGGAGGGAGGTTGGTGCCTCACTACTCCCACACATCAATGTCAACTCCAGCCAAACCGTCTTTTTCCCATGGGAAGTCACCACTGGAGTTCTGGAGAGCCATGTAAAGAGACCCATCCGGATGGCGGGCCGTGCGATAGCAGCGTTAAGAAACGTGCAGCATCCAACTCCTTGCAGGGTTGCGGCATGGTCAAAAAGATTGCATGGAAGCTCCCAGAAGGCGTGGGAGCTTCCATGTTAGTCTGGGGGGGGGTGGCTGCAGCTGCCCGCGGCTCGTCGACCCATTTGTCACCAACTGTAACCATCTGTATTTTCGGGTTCAGGCAGGACACCATGAAAACCATGCTTGAGTCGGGTTCATGCAACCAGCAGTATTTACCTAAGGATTGTCATCCAAATTGGGTCAACCGTTCTTTTAATGGGGGCAGAACCCCAGGGTGTATGATACAGATATGGATGTGAGATTTGGGCAACACCCCAACCACATGGAAAATGTGTAGTTTCATTCACGGCCTGCGGCTGAAACTTTGGGCGGTTGAATGGCAGATCTTCTTTTTCAGGCTTTCATTGAGTCGTGCTGCTGCCTCTCTTGGCAGCAGTCGTTCTTTTCTGAGAGGGCGTGGGTCAAATTGTGAATTTCCCCTCCCCCATTTTCCGATGCGCCTCTGTGGAAGAATTGAAACCATGATTTGCCAAACTGTGGCGACCTCGGAAAAGGGGTTTGCGACCTCAGCTATGAAGGTTTGCCGCGATTCCTGATTTGATGCAGGTGAATAGCAATTTGCCCTCAACCCCTCGATCCTCATCGGCATGTGGCTGCTCAAACATTCTAGAAAAAATGGGACCTTGGTAAATGGAGCCAAAGACGACAACCTGCACAAAGCCTACCCTCCCTTCCACTAACATAGCTCCTGTGGGAGGGTACCTGGAAGATCATATTTCCTCTTGTAGGGACCCCTGTTCAGGTGCCCTGGCAGCGTGGGAGTGAGAGTAGCTCTTTAACTTTGTGCCACACCTATGCGTGTTTTTGGGCTTCGTGTTTTTGATTGGCGGGTGGAATGAAGAGGACGGCCTTCGCGCCCCAAAGAGAGATGAGATTTGTCGCAACCACTGGAGGTGTTTGTCTTTTGTATGGATTTGGACCCCCCGAAAATGGCGAGTTTTCCTGTTAATTTCCCTTTTTCAAAAACCACAAAACAAAGTGCCTCAAAAACAAAGAGGCCCACATGTCATGTTTGCGAATGTTCGCCAGACCACTCCAAAGCTTTTGCTTTCCGTGAGGGGTATCCATCACTTCGACCCGAAGCCATACAGAGAACGTGGTACGTGACTGTCATGGTGACATTTCACGTACGAAAACACGTTTGTTTCCCAGACCGCGAGTGGCGCCTCCTGTTCCTTTGCTTTCGGGGCCTATTTTACGTCAATCATCAACCAAAAGTACCTGGAGTCTCCATGACCCTTAAACAATGGGGTCATGAGCCCTTTATATTGGGTAATGATCCAATTTTTGAGGGTCATGGAGACTCCAGGTACGTGTTTTTTCCAATGGTCATTGGAGGTCTGGGAGAAGTAGCCCCAGCTGAGCCACTTGTTGGTGGGTTTGTGAGCCACGAAAAATGTTGAACCCGGAAAAGGGTTTCGCTTCTGTTTCATTGCCAAGGTTATCCCCTAAACAGGCAGCGAAAGCTTTTGGTTTCTCCTGGGCAGCGCGAGAAGTTTACCCTGGCGCGTGGGCGAATGCAGGAGAGCGATGATCTTGGCTACAGCCCCCAGTCGCAGGCAGGCAGTCCTTTTTCGGGGAGAGACTAACCCGAGCGGGCTTTGGGAGGTTCCATGTGCTACAGTTGTTTGTTTCCCGGCTTCGCAACAGATCTATACTTGTGACCTCACCAAAAAAAGCGGGAGGGTGGGGGGGGTGCTGTAGGGGGTGCTGTAGGGGGTGCTGTAGGGGGTGCTATAGGGGGTGCTGTAGGGGGTGCTGTAGGGGGTGCTCAGGTTTGCGCATGGTGGGAATCCGATCCCAGGCCCGGAATATGACTGGAAGCGGCTGTTCTGAAGCCATGGCGGTTTCCCCTTTGGTGGCTCGATCGCTTCTTTAAAGGTGGCTGCAACCAATTCGCCCATGACGGCACATTGCTGGCGGCGAAACCCCCACTATCACAAGCAGTGGGGCTTCCCTTCTGTGTTCCCCTGGTTGGCGGGGGGGGGGGGTTAATGTGAAGAGACGGGGTTCTAGATGGAGTCGCCTTCTGACCCTTAAAACATTGTTGGTGGTTGCCTGAAGTGAAAAACACAGGGACATGTTTTTGAAGGGTCATGGAGAGAGACTTCCAAGGGCAGGGGCTTCTTGTGTGGCAATTGAACCTGGCTGAATGGCAATGAGTCCAGTAGAGTGCAGTTGAGTTCTTCCAGTTACCACTAGCATTGTTGTTGTTGGGAAACATGTCACATTCTTGCCTATTGTGGTTTAGTGGCAAACCCCCACTTAACTGCTAAAATTTCAATACTTGCTCCCGTCCCAACGTCAACCAAGCTGCAGTACAGGTTCCCAGCGCTCCTTGCCTCTCGTGGCCCCGAAACAACGGTATCGCCACGTTCCTTTTGGGATTTCGGGTTCCCTTTGCCTATTCCCAACAGCCGGTAGGAACTGAATCTCTGGAAGCCCCCTGAAAGCTGCCCCCGAACCACCCAAGCCCATTTGGGCGAAAACCAGGGAAAAAAGGGGAACTAGGTCCCCCAGTAGTGCCCTTCTCACCCCTTTTTTGGGGTTTTGGGTTCCCCTACTAAAATAGACAGAACCGAAAAAAGAAACGGTACCAACTTATTCTCTCAAATCTGGAGGACCCAGGCGAAAACGGAGCCACTCGGTCCATTTTTGAGATAGGCCGCTTCACTCGAGTCCATTTGCCCATGGCGCTCCAGGTGTAGACATCGCCGGTTTCACCAGAGCTTCGCTTCGTCGAGTTGGGGGAAGAAAACAAAACACCGGCGGCCCGGTTTCATCGGTGAGCTCGGCTTGAAATTGGGTTCGGTTCCACTGGTTTAGATGGGCTTTTGGTTCCGTGAACCCAAAAGGACTCATCTGTTTCTCCCGAGGACATCTCGCGCAAATAGGTTACCCTTCCACGTGCCTCCAGTCATCCGCGTCAAGACAATGTTCAGGCTGAGAGAGGCTTGTTTTTTGTGCACCCCACATACGCGCATAGCAGGTACCCAGGGAAGATATGGGAAAACTGGCTGTAGAACCAGGCAGGGAACCGTGGCTAGAGTTCAAGCTAGAAGCGCAGAGCTTCCTCAGCAGCTGCGGCAAGCTATTGGGATCGAATTCCTTCAAGGATCTCAAGTGTTAGTTGGAGGGTACCTCTTGCAATCATAGGCGTCTTTTTTGTTGTTGTTTTGGTTGAAAACAGATGACCCTTGGTTGACCTGGTGGTTTCATTGGAAAGTCTAGCAGGGCCACCCATCTTCCAGAAAGAACACCTATCTCCCATTTGTTTAGGAATATGTTTATTTTCCCGTTGATGGTTTTAAAAGGAATGTATCACTACTGGAGGTATTTTTTTCCAGGGGTCTTAAGTAAATGGAAGCTATGGGTTCCCATGGAAACTCAGTCGTTCAGTGGCACCAATTATTTTTCCAACTTTTTGTTGGTGGCTGCCCCACTAAACATGGTCCAAGCCGCAAAAAGGGTTCCCTTTTTTCCCAGGGTCACTGAGCAACTGAGAAAATCCTACAAAAAACAAATATTACTGATTGTCTATTGTTTCCTTCCGGATCCACTTTGCATCTACCCGGCCCGGCTGACACGTGTGGCTTCCCTGCCCGTTGCAACTGTGCCATGGTTTTTCTTCCCAGAGGCTCCTGGGGCTTGCAATGGAAGACCCGGCCCCTCCATTAGACACCCCGGAGGTGGTTGGGGGTCTCAAAACCAGGTTGTTTGAAGTCCCTAAATCAATCCGGAGCCTTTGGGTTGTTAAAGGGCGATCGAACTCGGAAAGCAACCTGTATGAAACCCGGACATGTCTTCCACATGTTGAAACCCGTTCCTATGAAATCGGCCCCTATGAAAGCCGTATGAAACCCGTGAAGGGCCGTATGACCAAACAACAAGCCTGACATTGCCGCATTGCCATTCCAGAAGCAAGCCGGGGGTTCTGGGGCCGAACAGCGAGACATTTCGTTCAAGGCACCCGCAGCTTCCCCACAGTGAATCATGTGTTACCAAAAAGTAATGTTGAATCCCCCCGCAGCTTCCTGCTCTTCCCACAGTATCTGATAACAGTTGAGATTAACACTAGGTCCCCAGTAGTGCACTTTTACCCTTTGTTGTGGGGAGGGTTCCCCTACTAAATAGACTACAGAAAAGAAGTTGGTACCCTCATTCTAATCTCTCTACTGGACCTAGAACAGGTCAGCCAGAGGGCTGGGCGAAGGAACTGGTACCCTCCAGAGCTTCTTGCCGCAGCGTCTCCGGCTGAAGCTCCATAATTCAAAAACCTCCGGCCCGGCCGCACCTGGGAGGAGACCACGCACGCGGGAAGCCGGGGAGGGGGGCGGGGAACAAAACGGGGTTGGTTATACCACCCGGATATTTGGTGGAATGAGACGTTAAGATGTTGTTCAAGAGCCGTTTGTTTGTTTGTTTGTTTGTTTGTTTGTTTGTTTGATTGTTGTTTTTATTGTTTTCGTTCGGTTGGTTGGGTGGTTGGGTTTGGTTCGTTGGGTGCCTGGTTGTTTGTCTGATTGTTTGATTTGTTGCTGGCTCTCTTGGTTGTTTGTTTGTGTGCTCTGTTTGTTTGGTTTTCTTGTTTTTTGTTTGTTGGTTGGTTGGCTGGCTGGCTGGCTTGCTTGCCTGCTTGCGTGCGTGCTTGCTTGCTTGCTTGCTTGCTTGCTTGCTTGCTTGCTTGCTTGTTTTCTTGTTGGTACATTATGTTTGCTGTGTGTGTGTTTGTTTGTTTGTTTGTTTGTTTGTTTTGTTTTGTTTGTTTGCTTGCTTGCTTGCTTGTTTGTATGTGTTCATATGTTTGTCTGATTGTTTGTTTTCGCATGTTGGTTTGTCTGTCTGTCTGTCTGTCTGTCTGTCTGTCTGTCTGTCTGTCTGTCTGTCTGTCTGTCTGTCTGTCTGTCTGTCTGTTTTGACACATGTGCTGTGCTGCATTAAATGCTGAGTGACGCAGTGAAGTCGGGGTTTAAACATAATACAGGCGTTTATCATTCCGCATATTAGGCTTTGCGACTGAGAAGCAACCACGCCAGCATCCCATGAGACGTCATGGTCCAGCTCCTTAACTGATTGCTAAGTGACTGGGTAAGCTGTACTTATTCATTCAGGAAGAAAGCAGTAGCCACACATCAAACTTGGATGGCAAGCAAGAAGACAGTCATGATGTTACCTGTGCCTCGGTTTCAGAAATCTCGCGCAAGGAGGGCCAGAAGTCATGGCCAACGAAAAGAAAGACAAGGATGCTTGGGGCCCGGAGATGCACATCGCTCCGGACGTTAATCTCCTTGTGGTGTGCCCGGAGATCATCTTAGAATTGCGATTGCTTAATAATATGCCTTTTTTGTTTTTCCTTGTTGGTTTTAAAATAATTTCAATTCATCACTACTGGATTGTTTTTCGTTCTTTTCCTGGGGCCTTAACCAAATGGAAGTAGATCCCCAGTCTGTTCAACCTTTTCTGGGACCCAGTGGGTCACAGGCAAGCCACTACAGTGGGTAAGCAATCGATCCATGTTCCTCTTGGTTTTTATATGGGACAGTTCCAACTTGGTTACCTACAACACATGAGCTATGGAATCGCTGGGGGAGAGGGGGTCCTTTTGAAGCCGACGATCTTAACAAGGGTGCTGTTTTTTTTCACCGTGCATGTCTGGGCATCTGGAGATTCAGGCGTAGTTTCAGCTGTGTAGGCGCCCCGCCAGGTGAAAATTACTTAACTTGGCATCACCTGAACGGACGATTATTCGTGTCATGGTCTCCATTGATGTCTTGTGGTGATACTGTGGGGCACTCACATGTGGTCTCCTTGAAGTACTCCGCTTCCTAGTTCAACTCAACACGACTTGGGATCGCCTGGATGGGGCGTCCAGGTGTTGCAGCTCTTGAGGGTCCTGATTTCGGTTTCTCAGGTTCAGCTTACGAGCATTTCCCGCCTTTGATTCAGAGATCCTCGGCTCACGATACAGGTCCCTTCGGAATTCGTTTCAGTTTGGAGAGATATATCCGGCGCACTAATCCAGTTGGAGGAACCACATCTCAAATCTGTAGTGCAGATCAGAAACATGTTGCGTGTTTTTGTTTCTTGCGACGGTTCACCGTGGGCTTTAGAGGTGGTTTCCTATAATACATGTGAATGAGCAGGATGCATGACCACTTGATATCGATGGTGTTTTGTCCCAGGTGTTAGTTTATGCAAAGGGGGATGTCGCCTTTGTAAGCTTTCGTCCGAATTGTGTCTAGTTCTAGGCAGTTTGTAGCGAGTTCACCGATGGTCCCCCTATTTTCAGATTCAATGATTTTGTCAACCCAGGACCATGGCTGCCAGGATGTTTGATCATGGGGGCTAGGGGGGAGGGAGGGAGCCCAAAGAAACAACGTATTAAGTAGGCCTTATTTAGGGCTTATTTGAGCTCCCTCCCCCCCAGCCCCCATAATTGGAAGCCAGTATAGCATCATGAACATCCAAGGCCCTTTCTCAAGCGAATTCGGAAGCTTTTGATCTGGCCAAAGTATGGCTGATGCTTACTGGTTTTGTTCGTTCCCCTGTAGATGGGGGAGGCGGGTGACTCTTGGAAGGTCATTTCTTTGGCTGTTCGTTTTGTGGGGACGAAAATGGCATTCAGCCCACCCCCCCTCCCCTGGTAGAGAAGTGAAGCTATGCCCAGTGGAGACACCCAGCAAGGCCCATGAAAGTGAGCATTGTGGAGGGGGTTAGCTTCCCTTTCAATCCACCTCGCCCCCCTTGCCCCTCTACCTGGAGTCTCCATGACCCGTTAAAAGTGGGGTCGTTACCCTAAATAATGAGGTCATGGATCTATTTTCAAAGGGTCATGCCCTCACTCCCCCCTCTCCTTGAAAAAGGATCGCATGGAATCGCTCTCAGGCAGTGGCTCTGTCAGTACCCAGCAAAGGGGGCGAGCCGCCAGAAGAGGCAGGTCCCTATCGAAAGGGGCGAACAACCTGGGGTAAATACATGTGTGCAGCTCCTTTTCCCGCAGCTGGCGTAAAACGGTATCTTTTCAGAGGTGCGTTTTGCTTGGATGTTAGGACTTCAACTTTTTTTGCCAACTAGTGGCTTTACCATCAAACCACTAAAAGTTAAACTTTTAGCAGGGGAGCAGAAAGCAACCGAGCTTTGGTTGCCACTTTAGAAGAGTTTCCTCTTCGAGTGGTGTCTCACTTGGCTCGCTTGGTTTCCTTGGTGTATTTTTTTATTCATGGCCCCGAAGGCCCAAAAGCTTGATCGGGTCCTTTGGGCAACTCTGGTGGTTTGTTTTCTGGGAACTCACCCTTTCCGCTATCCGTGGCTCGCTTTTGTAAACCTCAACACTTCATGGTTGTTGTTGGGAAGCATGTTACATTTTTCCTATTGTGGTTGATTGGGACATCCCCACTGAACTGCTAGCAAGTAAATGTTTGCTCCCCTCTCAACGTCAACCAAGCTAGAGCAGTATGCATAGGGTGTCCTTTTTGGTTGTGCTGGAAAAAGAATAGATGGCCCTGGTTTGCCAGGTGGTTGTATGAGCCTCGGACCCCCAAAACGGCTGAGCGGTTTGCGACGCAAGCTTCCCTGAGCCCAAACAGCACCGAAAAGCCAACGGGCCCATGGCCCATCCAAGCCATGGGTCAGTCGTACCCGTTGCTTGGTGTTGGGACACCATCAAGGAAACCCGAGGCCGCGTTTTTGTTTTTTGTCTTTTGGGGGGGAGGGAATCTCTTGAAAAAGGGACACCCATTTGTAGCCAAGCAGGTCCTCATTGCGAAGCTTGGTCCCACGACCAGAGGGCGGAAAGTAGCCTCAGCTGTTCAGTGGCACCACTTAATTTTCCCTCTTTTTGGTGGCTGCCCCACTAAAACAGGTCTTCCCCAAAAACGGTTCCCTGTTTTTGTCCAGGGTCACTGAACAACTGAGTAGCGACTCTCGCACCCTTGCGACTTCCAATCAGTTTGGTTCCCGAGGGCAAGAAGGACGCGAACAAGAAGAAAAACGCCAAGGAGAAGCAGGAGGCGTGGCGGTTGATGTAAAGACCACGTCCCCAGAATGAGTTTCCCTTTTTGTTTTTTTGTTTTGGCTGTTGTGGGGTCCCATTTGTTTTCCATTCACCTGGCAATGTTTGTTTCGTTTTTTTGCTGGGGTCCTAATTCCAGCCAAGACCAAAAATCTCCCCCCCAACCAAGGCGACAGTCATGGTCTCCTTACCAGTTTTGACGAACATTTCGGTACTTGGTGGCTCTCAGCCATCCGGTTCCTTAGCTTTTTCGCCTTTTAGTGTTTAGTGGGGACTTGCATTTAACCCACTAAAAGTTAAGCTTTTAGCGGGGGATCTGAGGACAGCCCAGGGTAGGTGGTTGCATCAAGTAGCAGAATCAGAATCCAAAACCATTGGGATCACTGCCCATGCCGGGCTACCAAAAGTAGGCCCCTTATTCGCGTGGCAGCTGTACCATACCCGAGTTGTAGAATCACAGTGGATCCCAAGAGCGAAACCAGTTTTCTCTGAATTCCGCTTTGAAACTCTTTGGGACTATTTAAATAGCAATAAAAAAGAACGGACTTGGCCAAATCTCTCGAAAAGTCGTGTGCAGAACTCTAGCTTCCGAGTGCGTGACGTTCGCAGGAACTCTCTGAAGAGGATCGACAGAAGAAGGAAGAGCTGGAGCTCTTAGTGCAGAGAGCACAGGAGACCAAGCAAATCGATATCTCTCAGACAGCTTGCAAAGTGGGCTTCTTTCTTTTTTTTAGAATACCCTTCTCAGCTGGGATAAAGGTACACCAAGACAACAAATCACCATTTTTGCTTCTCCCCCTCGTTAGTACCAAAGGTGGCCCTTGATGGACATCCACCGTTGGTTCAAGAGATTTCAAGAGTCAGGGTGGTGCTCTGTGGCAATGGCCTGGTCTACCCCCAACATCCCGAACAGATGCCGGCAGAAGTTCTCACTCCCCAAGGTCCGTTTCGGACTTGGAACTTTTTCTCAGTTATTGTTCAGTGGCACCAATTATGTTTCCAACTTTTTGTTGGTGGCTGCCCCACTAAACATGGTCCAAGCCCCAAAAAGGGTTCCCCTTTTTTCCAGGGTCACTGATCAACTGAGTTTTGGGACAAGAATTCTAGTGGTAAATAAACCGCCTGGACTTTTTTGGGGGCCAATCCACTCAGGAAGTGAGAATTTGCTTGGAACCAGAGAGCGTGCGCACGCGCATGCACGCGCATGCACGCGCATCCCCCCTCTGCTGCCTGGGGTAGGACTCCGACCAGGGCGTTGCGAAAATGGCCATGGAGGCGGGTGAGGGAATCGCAAGATCCGGCCTAGGTCCCCCAGCTGGGTGCCCTTGTACCGTTTCTTTTTTGGTGAGGGTTCCCCTACCAAAAGAGACTACAGAAAGAGAGTCGGGTATCCTTATTCTAACCTTTCTACTGGAGGAGCTAGTGGCAGATCTTGTCGGCACAGCCCCTGCGCCTCACCGAGAACCAATGAACCATTCTGGTGACCTATATAGTGGTAACCGCCAGGCAAACTTTAACACTTGTCGTTGCCGTGTGTGCTAATCATTTTTGTCCAGGACCAAGAGTTGTTTTTGCCGAACCATCTAACAGCCGTTTCTGAGTGATTCAACACCGCTTGTTGGCACGGCTCTTGGGATTGTAGGTGTCGCGGATTCATGCCCCGGAGAAAGCACGTCCTCCCGGACCTTGCCCCAGAAGAACTTTGAGCGTTTTGGAATGCTAGTTTTAGTGAAACACAACACATACTGTGGATGGACAAAACCCGCTTCAGGCACCTGTGGGAATGGATGAAGCCCGATTTGAATACATGAATAGACCGCCTACCAAGCGGTGCAGCATTTTGTCCATCAACGATATGCCTACGTTTTCCGAAAGTTGACAACTCAAGCGAATCGTGCGACCCAAACATGGGTACCCTAAACGCACAACCCCCCCTGGCCCTGAAACATAGCTCCAGGATTTATAGGAGGAGTTTGTTGGGGTCAGAGCATTTGTATTCACACACAAAGACGCCCCCGCAAATGAGCCACAATCAAAACCCGGGTAGATGAAGGTTAGTAAGGGGCAGTCCCAGCCAGAAATAGTTGCGGATATCCGCCTTCTTAATTCTTTACATGGTTCTGGGTAGGCCATTTTACTACCGGGTTTTGAGCATGTGACTCAAATGGGCTCCAGTCAGCGCGTCCTGCACAGGCCATGGTCAAGGAGTTGAAGGAGTCGACCAGCTCAATGACGTCCGCTGGGCGCTAAGCGCAGAAGGAGCTGCTTCCAGTTACGTTCCCTTTGTTTGCCACTGCCACTAACCAGGCAACAAAAATGTATAAATATGCTGGGGTCCTAATTCCAGCCAAGATTCCGATTCCTCAGGGAAACCAACTAGCAGGGATACAGGGGGAACCAGTTTGATACCAGAGGATTCCCCCGTTTGATGCACCTTGACTAAGTAACTGATATGGGAAATGGCGCCAAGTTGGAATCCCCCCATATCCCCGCTCCCCCCCCGCCGTATCCCCGCGGAAGTTCGTCCAAATTCCTTCACATATGTTCTGGCGACGGAAGCTGAGTGCTCCCAGCTGCCTTGTTACCTATGGGACTTGGTATCCTCAGGGCCCAAACGTTTAGGAGCCTTACCGATATGCAACGATGTGTCTCAAAATCGGAACACCTTGATATCAACCCCCAAAAGAATAAAGCAAATAGAACCAAAGCACACAAAAAGAACCTCTGACTGACGCAGTGGCCAGGCGGGAGACTTCTCTTGCCCGTAGCCTCCTGTGTGTGTGTGTGTGTTTTTTCTCGGCCAACATTCCAATGTAAGCTGGGATCCATGAGTTTCTGGCTACACGGCCGCTTTCTGAGATGCCAAGTGAGAATTCATCTCATTGGGATGATCCATATTGGTATCACAAAATGGGTGGGCATCACAAGAGGGAAGAGGGTGGTCGTCTGCAACTCACTTCCCCAGTTCCTGGACTCCAGTCACTTTTTGAGGTTGGACCATTTTAGTGGGCAACACAAAGTTCAGACTGTGTTTGGACCATGCGGGGAAATGAGGAGTACTGGGCAACAAGGAGATCCTTTGCCCTTTTCTAGGGGTTGATTCCCCATTCTTTTCAACCATCGTTCTTTTCGAAAACCAGCTGTTTCCCATGTTTTTTGTGTGGTTTTCTAGAAAGAAGGATCCCTGGGTTCAGAATGGGCAAGCTACCTTAGACCTTTGCATAGCCTTGAGGGGCGCGCTGCAGGTCCCAAAGCCGCTGAAGTTCCTGCGGCCGCACTACTCCACCCTCACCGAGCACTACTCCAAGGCGCGCCGCAGGGGCGCTTTCTCGGGGGCGCAGTTCGCTTTCGGGGGGCGGCGTCGTTGCAAGCCCGACGAGAGAGTTCTTGGTGGCTCCCAGCCATCCGGGTCCTTAGCTTCTTAGCTTTTTAGTGTTTAGTGGGGTTTTCCATTTGGCCCACTAAAAGTTATTTTTTTAGCGGGGGATCTGAGGACAGCTCAGAGTGATGGAGGTGTTTGGCTTCAGCCAACTGATGCAGGGGTTCTGCAGCCAAAGCTTTGGACTATGAACCACTTCGGATCTGCTCCGGACTCCGGGCGCTCGGTTCCGGAAGGGAAATTTGGGGTGTTGGGGATACCACCTGGGCTTTTTGTTCTGGACCAAAGCCAGGCAATCCATGTAGGTAATGTATACCCACATCTTACCTTCCAAGTAGGTTCTTCATGTTGGTAAATATTGCCTACATGGATTGTCTCAAGGAAAGATGGCATAGACATATGGGATGCAGCCATTTCCTGACCCAGTTGGGGTCCTGTGGGACCAGACATGTGTTTAGGATCCCTAAAAAAAACCACCGAATCCTGATCCTTTGGGGTTCTCGAAATCAAATTTGGTGACTTTGGCGCAAAAGCTACGAGTCTTAGGAGATCGTCTATCTTTGTTTTAGTGTTTTTTTTTGTCGGATCTCAGTAGCGTCAGTAGTTCATGTTGTTTTCCTCACAAGTTACACATCCAGGTGTTTGCTTTTGGTTCAACCCCAGTGTAAACAGCACCCCGTCCACCCGAAGGACATTCAAAAAGCCGCCATGCGCAGATGCCTGCGAGCGACCTGAAGCGCTTCTTCGCAGACGTCCTGTCCATCCTATCTACCACGATGCAGAAACAAGGGCAGAGCGCTGAGAGCTCATATCAGATATCGATGATTGGAATTGGTGGTTTGGGGAATTCAACCCCTTGTTCAAGGGGTAAATGTTTTTGTTTGTGACTACTGGAAATGCTGATTGATTTTTCCAAGGGGCTCAAGCAAATACACGCAACCAAGTAGCGCAAATAGCAGCAAGATTCGAGGATCCGCGTCAGGCAGGGTTTTGGATGTATCCGTTCTTCGGAAGCCCCGGGTTGCCGACAGGGTTGGGCAAAAATCAGGGCAAACTCTGGGATTGTCGAGGCGCCTGGCTTTGGGGGGAAGCCGTTCCGCCCAGCCCGCGGTCCGAATTCATCGATGGCTCCGCTCAGTTGTTCAGTGGCACCTTTCTCCTCATTTGTTTTGGGGTGGCCCCACTAAAAATGGTCCTCCCACCCCGAAAAGGGTTCCAATTCTTTTTTTTGCCAGGGTCGCTGAACAACTGAGGAGATGATTGACACCCCCCTTTGTTTGGTGGTTTCAGAGGGACAAAGGCACCAATCGAGTCAAGATCCCTACGGTCACTGAACAAGTGTGTCCGAGGTCCCGGCAGGCGTTGAAGTATCGGCTGGAGGGCACCAAGGAGGGTCTCACCAGCTGGGGTTCGGCGCCCAGATGGCCAGACGGCGGACCGGGGGCGGGGGGGTTGGTTTGGTTTTTGGATGGGTCTTAGGGCAAGGGTTGGGTTGGGTTGGTAGTTTGGAGTTATGTCTCAGTTGTTCAGTGGCACCCTTTTCTTTTTCCAACTGTTTTTTGGGTGGCTGCCCCACTAAACATGGTCTTCCCCAAAAAGGGTTCCCTTTTGTTGCCAGGGTCGCTGAGCAACTGGGGGGGGGGCTCTCAGGGCAAAGGTTGGTTTGGGTTGGTGGGTGGGAGTTATGTTGACCCCAGACTAAGTAGCCGCAGTATATGAATAGGGGGGGGTTCCCTTGCGATAGTGATGATTCCCCACTAAATCCAGGAACCCCCCCTATTAATAAACTGTGGTTGATCAATATGGGGTCAACATATGTGGTTTTGTTGGAGGTACCCCTTCGTCGGAGGTACCCTCAGTTGATCCCTGATTGGTGGCTTGGACGGATGGTTATTGATGGTACATGCGCAGCTACCCCCTGATGTCCAAACCACCAGACCACAGATTAGGGGGAAACTTGCACCCTGTTTTAGGTTGGATTGAAGAGAGACCAACTGACAAGCCAGATTTTGCTGTGACCCGATTTTGACGCATACCCTCCTCAGGGTTCCATCCTTCGGTGTCCAGTTCCAAGTTTAGGACAACATGCGGTTGACAATTGAATCCTGGGTATGGATCAAGAGTCCCTGTCAGAAGCTGATTCGGATATGCGGCCAGGTGATTCCAATCTCGAGTCTGTCCTGGCTTGGGCAGACTCCTTGAGTATGTGTTGCGACTACGACTCTGTTAGTGTATTGTATGCCTTCAAATTGGGGAACCCTCAATATGGTATAGTTTCCCTTTGGTTTCCCTCTAAGTCAACTTTACGGTTTCCCAACCAAGAGACACCCATTTGTCATGAAAAGCTGAATGTATGAACTCTTTCATAGACCTATGGAAGTTCATGTTGGGCAAAGATGGCTGCTCTTGAGCAACCAAGTCGTGCCACAAACATGGAGTTCATGACATTCAGGCTGCAGCACTGGTGCTCTACGACCTGTTGTCGGGCAACGGGAATGAAGCCGACCACTTGAGCCACAATAGAAAACGGGAAGTGAAGGCTAGGGACTGTCCCGGCCACAGTCAGGTGCGGCCGCCTTTTCAGCACTTACCTTGGAGGTGCCCAGTTTGGTGTCTTCAAGGGGAAATCCGAAGCCAGTTTTCAGGGCATCCTCACACAAATCCATGTGGCTACGAATTTTCATGGAGAATTCCCTCCCAAATGATGGGTGGGCATAAACCCCCACCATGATGTCCAGGAAAGGGTTCCCACATAAAATTAACACCCAAATTACAATACACATGTGAAGGACATGTTTGGTGCGACACTGGTTGGGTCGGGTTGGGTAAAGTAGGCGCGACCATTGAAGTATCATGCCATGCTCCTTGTTCGACTGGGTCCATTAAAGTCACATCCTCACGAGTATGCTCTGAATGGTGGTCAAGAGTTCCAACGTCCATTCACGCGCGGCCTATAGGTCATGAGTACATCCGCAACATTGCGGGAGAGATTGGTGAGGACTGCCTTTGCGAATGAATGATCAGGTGGGCCAACGCTAGTGAGTGGCAAACTTTGAACCTTTTGTTGGCATCCTCTACTGCAAACCTGGCTTTGCATTGGTAAAGACTCGTTTTTGGTCAGGGGTTGACATCATGCAGGGCATTTGGAGTAGGCGGCAGTTGTGTTCATCAATCTAGTGCAGGGCCAAACCGGTGTTTGTTCTCTGGCAAGTGAACACAGCAAGTCAGGAGCAGTCTGGATTCACGAACTGACATGGGGCAGCATGACCATTAACTGGAGATGCTAACAAGGCCTAAATAATTAGAATGGGGTTGTGGGGTACTAGATCGTAATGTGTACCTGGACCCTCAAGCTACCCATAAGAATGAGTATTTGCCCCAAACTGGTTTGACTTATCCTGTGTCTTGGTGGCTCCCAGCCATCCGGTTCCTTAGCCTTTTAGCTTTTTAGTGTTTCGTGGGGATTTCCAAATGTACCCCACCAAAAATCTACTTTTCGCGGGGGATCTGAGGACAGCCCAGTGGGTAGTTTGAGGGCCCAGGACAGCCTCTTTGTCCCAGTCCGAGAGTCCCAAGACGCGCCTGGAGAACGCAAAACAAAACCTCTTGTGGGGGTACTTTTTGGGTTTGGTGCTTTGCACATGGGTTCTTCTTTTCTTTTTTTGGTGGGGGGGGGGGGGGCGGGTAAATTATTTTGTTGTTTTCTTTTCTTTTTGTATTTCGGGGGGGGGGGGGTTCGGGTCAGAACGAAGGCAACTTGTTGGCGAGAGAGGCGTCTCGGGGGTCTCGAGTCGCGCGAGCGCAGGAGTTCAAGGAGCGCTCGGAGAAGGGCGCGCCGGTGGCGGACCTGCTGTCCTTGGTGGAGGACGGACACGAGTTTTTTGGGGAGCGTCCATTTGCTGAAATGAATATGTTTTTATTTGGGTAAGAATACTGGTACTCTCAAAACAAGACACGCGTTTTCTAGTGCTACCTTCCCCCATTCTTTCCAGGTACCAGGTACCAAATGTAATTGGACTCCAGGTACCTGCAAAGGGCAAACATATATTTGGGGGTACCTTCCCTCATTCTTTCGGTCCTTTTCGGCCTCCCTGCTCTGTCCCCAAACCGGCTCCCAGGCTCCCACTTCTGGGGGGCCTACTATAACCCACTACTTGGGGCAGGAGAAATCGCTAGAGTATCAATTTAGAATCTGCCAGTTCTCTTCTTAGCTGTTGGCGACTGTGAATGTGGAAACATTTTTAACTACGGGGACCTTTGCTATTACAGGGAAAGGATTGTGGAACGGTACACGAACCCCAAAGGACACTACCCACACATTTTGCCTTTTCGCAGGGAAATCATACATAGGGGGCTTAACCCGCTGAAGCCATGGCTCGATGTCACGGCGTGCTTCAGGAGATTGTGCCATTTAACATGAAGCACAACGCGGAAGTAGCCTGAAGCTCAGAGACTTTTTTCCTGTTTTTTGTTTTCCCCCTTTTTGTTTTTCTTCTCGGATTGCCAGTTTGTTTGCCAGCTGTTCCTCGGGCCTCGCCAAAACAGGGATCGGCATGTTTGCGTGTGTTCCTTTTTATTTTAAAATGGGTGTGTGCGTGTGTGTTTGCATGTGTGCGTGTGCTTCTTTCTTTTTTTTCCCATTGTTGGTGGTGTTCAAATGGAAACGACAGGGAAACCCACCACTTTGGTGGGTCCCCTGAAGAAAGACACACCCATACATAAAAATTCGGGCATCTTCGAATTTGTGAATGGAAGCCACTTCTTAACCACCAAATCACCCGGCCAACAGAGGAAAACTGAATTATGGGTTCGGATCCTTTCGGGCACTTTGGCCTCCCCAAGCACCGAAATCGGGGGGGTGTCGTTCATTTTGAGACATTGGCTTGTTGTTGCTTTACCAGAGTCGCCATGACCCTTTGAAAATGGTGTCATGACCCCTTTGTTTTGGCTAATGACCCCATCTTTTCAGGGTCAGAAGGAGACTCCAGGTACGGGAAGAACAGCATTCCCATGGGCGTGCGACTGCCGATTCCTATGGTTGACAAACCCAGGGCCTGCACCAAGGACTTGGGGATGCGAACATGCGAAATGCCCTTTGGGCTGAAACAAAGCCCGTTTTGAGTTTCCATTTGTTGGTGGTTCTCGGTGTTCCTTTTTGTGGAAAACCCGCTTTGAGTTTCCCCTCCTTGGTGCTTCCCTTGGGTGCGAGGTTGGCCTTTTTGGTGGTTTCTCCTTTCTGAGGGCTCCGAGTCTTTAAAAAGCAGACACGAAAACGAAGCGTTCCCTTAGCATTACACCAACATGAACAGGGCTCCTTAAAATAGACTTCCATTTTGCCACCATTTGAAACATGTTGCTTTTTCAACAGCAAAGTAAAGTTGGAAACCACCATTTACAAGTTGCAATGTTCAGGTGTCTAATGTAAGGATCCCTGATGAAGCTATGTTTGACATTATTTGGACTATTTCCCCCCCATTCTCTTTACGCCCATGATGCTGTTCAAAAGCCAACAAATCCTCGGGATGGTACAGCATGGTCCATGAGTTTCGTGGTGGAAGGTGATCACCAGGAAAACAAATGATATTTCTTGAATCCACCTGGAGGGAGGGGCAGCAATACTACTTGGAGTCTCCATGACCCTTAAAAAAGTGGGGTCACTACCCAAAATGAAGGGGTCATGGACCCCTTTTCTAAGGGTCATGGAGACTCTAGGTACGGGAAGAACAGGATTCCCCTAAATCAAGGGGTTTTCCACTAAACCCCCAAAAAGTTGTCAACTTTTTGCGGCAGGGTCGTTGCAGCAACCAAGAATCCTAACTGGTTTCTGACGGCCGAAGCGCGAAGCCGGGACAGCTCAGGATGCGATTGACCTCCTCTGTGAGGTGGAAAAGGTGCAGACGACCGCCTGGCTTGTTGCACACTGAAAGGCTTTTCGGATTGGGCCCCCTTTCCTTGGTGGCTTTTTGCCATCCGGCTCCTTCGCCTTTTAGCCTTTTAGTGTTTAGCGGTAGTTTCCATTTAGCCCACTAGTCAAACTTTTAGCGGGGGATCTGAGGGGCAGCCCAGTTTCTTCAGCTTTTCGCATGGGACAATTTGCGGAACCATGGGTGTCCTTTTTGGGTGAGCCTGGTTAAAAATGGATGGCGCTGGTTTAGATGGGTTTTGTTCCATTCACCCGGGCCGTCTATTTTTCCCAAAAGGCCACCCATGTTCGGAACGCCGTTTGGCCATTTTGGGGTCCCTGAGTTCTTTTTTTTGGGGGGGTCGAACCATTCTAGCCGCAAGCCACCAGGTCTGTGTTATTTCTTTGGGGCTACAGGATGCGGGATGCTGCGGGTCAAAAACTGGTACCCAAAATTGAACCCTGGAAAATGGAACCAAGGACATTTTGACCTGCGGTCCATTTCCCGGTGGAGGAACCAGGCGAACTTGTTGGCATTCGAATTTGCCCAAACCAGCAGCACGGAGGAAGCCCCGGCAAGAGGGAACGGCAGGATCCACAAAACGGCGGAGCGATACTTACAATTACTTCTACTGTCGCTGGTGAGGCTTTTTCAGAAAATGCTTTTTGCGTGCAGTTGGGTGGTAGGACCCCTGACCGAGCCTTGTTAAGATACTTGTTTTTGCACCCAGTTGGGTGGTAGGACCCCTTTGGGTGGGGTGCACATGAGATGGGGCCCAGGGGTGCAGGGCTGTAGCTTGGCACCTCTCCAGCGCATTCTAGGGGTAACGTCCATTCTTTCCAGGGATCCCTCTTTCTAGAAAACCTCCGAAAACCCAGAAAAACAAAACAAGTGGCCAATTTTTTGAAAAGACCGATGGTTGAAAAGAATGGAAAAGGGAATCAACCCCTAGAGAAACAAATCCATGGCCACTGGGCATCGGAGTTTCTATTAGTTTGACTACCATGGAAAAGGAATCAACCCCCGGAGTTGTTGGGATTCTCCAACAGTGGCAGCTTCAACAGAAACCACCAGTCCTTTGCGTAGGGATCCCTGTATTCAGGATTTAAGGCGTTGTTCTAGAATGCACAGATGGATGACATGTCTGGTTGCTTCTTAAGCATCATTGGACCCTCGTTTAAAAATTGGACCCTTGTGCAACCACGGCCCGCCAGGATTGAGAAGCTCTGCGAAGAACCATCCTTCAGCAGAGCCGTCTCCTCAAAGCTGCCGCAATCACCGGCGAGACGGCGAATCAACGAGTGATGCCGAAATTCGTGCATGCCTCCATTTGCTGCAATGTGTTTCTTCCCCCCTGTTGGTTTTAAGAGGAAGCAACATCACTACTGGAAATGTTTTCTCATTTTTTCCTGGGCCCTTAACCAAATGGACGATGAAGGTCATTTTTCGGGGTGTCCCTCAATTCATGTCGCTTGAATTGTTGGGTTCATCTCAACAAAGGGGACCCCACCAAAATTGGTGGGGTCCTCTTGGTTTCCTCTGAAATCAGCCAAAACAGAGTACCCTCAACAGGGCTCCTTAAAAGATCTCCATTTTGCAGCCATTTGAAACATGTTGCTTTTTCAACACCAAAGTAAAGTTGGAAACCACCATTTACAAGTTGCAATGTCCAGGTGTATAATGCATCCGGATCCCTGTTTGTGTTTCCATTTTCCAGGGACTACGTTGTCTACCCAATCGTTCGCCCCTTCGCGGACATGGCGAATCGCTGCTCAAGAGACAGATCCAGCCTTGCGCTAAGGTCTGTCTCTACCTCCAAGGCTTAGCAAACTTTGCAGCTACACAGGCGGAGAGTGGCTTCACAAATTCGGTACCTGGAAGTCTCTTTCTGACCCGTTAATTGGCCTCCATTTGCTGAAATGAATACATATATATATATATATAATTGTCCCTTGGTCTCGAAAGGAAGCAACATCACTACTGGATGTTTTTTTTTTTTTTTTTCCTGGGGTCTTAACTTCCAAATGGAAGTTAATCAAAAGGCTCATGACTCATGACCCGAATGTTTATTTTGGGGCTTGGGGAATGACCAACCATGTTCTATTTGGGTCAGTAGGAGACGGTCTCACATTCAACGTGGTTGATCAAAAGGTCCGGTACATGGAAGGACCAGTGGCTGGAAACCCACTAGAAACATTTGAGCTTCCCTGCATGGGAAAAGTTAGCCTGTCTTGTCAACACATGTTTTCTGAGTTCTGTTATGGACTTTAGTCACTTTTTGGGTGTGTTGCCATTCTTGTTGTAAATAAACAGTTCCAGGACTTTAGCTACTTTCTAGGTTTGGACCATTTTCGTGGTAGCAGTGGTCACCAACAAGTGTGGGTACCTTTTTTTTGCCAATCCCACGCGATCGGAAGTGAGTTTGTTGAAACGCTGTAGCTCGATGCCCAGTGCTTGTGTTTCGCCACTCAAGGTAGGAGCACGGGGGAAAAAGTCACGTCGATGGGTAACGCCCCAAGCCCTGGGGTTCCAGACGTCATGAAAAGAGTGGCCCCGGGGGACCCAATTTTGATGAAAATCCTGAAGGGTAAAGAACGGCGGTTATATGGCTGTGGTTGTCAAAACCGTTTTGGGATCCCATTTTGGGGTAAGTTAATTTACCACCCATTTTAGATTCCCTATTTTAGTGGTTGGATTGAATCGGATGTTCACTGGGGGAACTTTGACCCATGGCCATATTAACCCCCAATTGTTCGCATGGTGGTGTGAATGAACTCCAAGGCAGTGAAAAGATGCGTGGATGGGTTCGCTATGCATCTCGCACCGCAACATAGGAAACCACAGGAAACCGGCTAGAGCATTTGTTGGTATTTACAGTGAAATCATGATTCCAGGGTCTCTTAGGCGGTGCAGGATTTCGTCCATCCACAGTACCATACTTCCAAGTGCTGAAATCCCCTAGAAAGAAAGAAAGAAAGAGAGAGAGAGAGAAAGAAAGAAAGAAAGAAAGAAAGAAAGAAAGAAATAATGAAAAGAAAGACAGAAAGAAAGAAAGAAAGAAAGAAAAGAAGAAAGAGAGAGAGAGAGAGAGAGAAAGAAAGAAAGACAGAAAGAAAGAAAGAGAGAGAGAGAGAGAGAGATAAAGAAGGAAAGATAGAAAGAAAGAAAGCAAGAAAGAAAGAACGAAAGAAAAGAAACGAAATGAAAATAATAGAAAATAAAGAAATAAATAAGTAAAGGAAGAAAGAAAGAAAGACATAAATAAAGAACAACATTGTATTCCTAGAGGAAACCATCATGTGAAAGAGCCAACAGCTTGGGTTGCTATGGTCACCCACATAATTACGGTAGCAATTGGCAGTCCTGCGGCAGCCCAAACAGATACAGTTGGGGTGGGTTGTCGCATTGTTGCGTTTGGGTGTTGTGCTTGAAGGCTGATCATGTGCTGTTGACATAGCACATCGTGTTCTAAATGTGAAGACATTATTTATGAAATATGATTTGCTTCTAGCCAACATGTTTGCTGAACTGTGTCGATTGTTTGCGCATGACTTCACACTTGTAGCACGCAGTTCCCCGCATTCCTTGTGCTTGTGTTGTGCACGTGTATCAGCTGGCACCTTGTTCTTGGCGTCAAGGGAAGCCCCTCATGGCATGACTCGGCATGACGGCAGCCTGCGGCAGGCTGACAAAGTGATGTACCTGCAAGTGTGCATGAATCTCTACCTGAGATACAAGGATTGCACCGCGCCCAAGCCAGCTTGTCATTGTCTTTTAGGGCTGTTGTGAGACCCGGAAACCCTTCAAAGTGATACAGAAGTTGGGAAGATGGCCCACTTTGTGTTGGTATCATAGGCTGCGTTGATTGACTGCTTGGTCTGTAGGTGTTCATGT